ATGTTTGTTGAGTAAATGTAATTATGAGAGAGAGAGGGATAGAGAGAGGAGGAGGAGAAAGAGAGAAGATATCAGAGAAAGTTTCTGAGTGAGAACTGTGTTATTGACTTAAGATTAAACTGATTACAGTGTCCCCCCAGCTCAGCAAATCTAACTTCTAACAGAAACTGAGCTGGCACGAAACAAACTCTTAACAGTTAGGGACTATTTAGTACAGACGGCTTGTAATTCTTGATTTGTTTTTAAGATGGAAATTGTTATAGGATTCTTTGATGGACAACGATTAAAGTGCCACATTTTTTGTAAAAAATTATCTGAATGTCACATTTTGTAAATTTTTGTTCATAATGTCACGTTACCTAACTCGCTTACAATACCTGGTGAGTTAGGCGTTGTCACATTTAGATGGGCGAACATTATTTATAGAATAAAAAATAATAATATTGTAAAGACTCATGTGAGATTTTTGTCAATATAAAATAATAACAGCAGGGATTTGAACTTGCAGCGCTTTCATGAGAAAAAGAAATCTGTCAAGAAAGCTGAAGGTTTTGGGTTGGCTTCAGCTTTCTTCTAAGGAAGACAAGGATACCTTAAAGAACATGTATAGTCAAGCATTCAGTTTCTTTGAGAAAGTTAAGGAGAAGTTGAACAGTGCTGATGACTACCAAGCTTTCTTGAAGTGCCTTTATAATTTTTTCGTCAGTGAAATAATAAAAAGGAATGAATTGCAAAATTTGGTAACCGATTTACTTGGAAAGCATCTTGATCTTATGGTGGAATTCAATGATTTCCTGGAGTGTTTGGAAAATATTGATGGGTTCCTTGCTGGTGTCATGAGTAAAAAGTCACTAAGATCATCAAAGTTGGAGGACAAAGACAAAGACAAAGAGCAGAAGCGTGAGATGGATGGAGCTAAAGAGAAGGAAAGATACAGGGAGAAGGAGTACATGGGAAAATCCATTCAAGAACTTGACCTCAGTGACTGTAAACGTTGCACTCCCAGCTACCGGCTTCTACCTGCTGATTATCCAATTCCTACAGCTAGTCAGAGATCTGAGTTTATAAAGAACAATGGACTATCAAGCCTCTCAGTTGGGGCGGTTATATTTATTATATTTTAGACGTACCACCCTTACTATCTAATTATTTATCAAAGTCGAAATCAGCAATAGTTTTTTTTTTCTTTCTATTTTTTTATTATTGATTTCAAATTGATATAACAATAACCAATCAAATAATAAGAGTGATAAGTCTAAAATAATAATAAATATAACTTTCTCCGCTTCTCAATTCGCTATAACCTTTTTTTCTCCATCCTAACCAAGTTAGTACTCTCAATTTGCCGTTGATTTTAGAGTACATAAAACATCTGGTGTGATTATGCACGTCAAAATTTTGTTCCGGCACACGCTATGCCATTTGTTTGATATGCCCTCGGTTACAATACTATTCTTAAGAAGTAAATTATTTTGAGATGATCAACATTATATTCATTTCGCTAATTACCATTTTCAAATAAAATACTTACATATTCATCATAGTTTAATGAGGCTACTATCCTCCAAAGGTCGCCCAAAACTTTTTACCTCAATAATAATAATAATTTTACAGTTGAATATAATATTTTCAATTATATGTTTTGGATTGAGAGTATGAATCGATGATAGAAATATGAATTATTTAAAATAAATAAAAATATATCGCTAAGCATATTTTTGAAAAAATGACAATTAATTAAAAATATCATGATTCATGAAGAAGTAATTATAAGGTCTAAACAGTAACTTCAGTCATCATAACCACAACTAACAAATATATACAGATTATAATTTATACATAATCGATACATTATTTTGCCGTGTGAAATTTTCCAAGCTCAATATTGTTAACACACAAATTGCAAGTTCTTCCTCACACATAACTTCCATGTAGGGATTTAAATGGATCAAATGGTCTATTAAGTGTTTATAATTCGGTCTAAGTAGGTTAGGTTTGACCTAGCTAATATATTTAGTAAAATAAAATAGGCTTGGACCTCAAAAAAAACTTGTTTAGAAAACAATTTTTAAATATAGACAAGACCAAACCTATAATGTAGAGTACACCAAATTAATAGGTCAAACCAAGTTCAAAATATTTTATATAAACTTAACGTATTTAGGCCAAAACCTAATCTGACGAGTGGTAGTCTTAATTTCTATTTAAGATAGACTCAGTTGGTTCCTACAAGAGTAGGGTGGCGGGTTTTGCCACTGCTCCTCCTTGTGGGACATTGTCTCTGATGACCGCGGGAAGAGGCCTAAAGAGGAAGATAGGTTGCATTGACGTGGCTACCCAGATGGGGAGGAAGAACAAGATTGAAGATGATTATGTTACTGGGGTGAGGATCGGGCAAGGAAAGTATGGATCTGTTTCGTTGTGTAGGTCTCTTGTTGGCGGCGCGGAGTATGCGTGTAAGACTCTGAAGAAGGGGGATGAGACTGTTTACAGGGAGGTGGAGATAATGCAGCACTTGTCTGGGCATCCTGGGGTTGTGACTCTGCTGGCAGTGTATGAGGAAGCTGATTGCTCTCATCTGGTGATGGAATTGTGCTCTGGGGGAAGACTTGTCGACCAGATGTTTAGGGAGGGCCCTTGTTCTGAACAGCGGGCTGCTAATATACTTAAGGAAGTGATGTTGGTCATCAAGTATTGTCATGATATGGGAGTTGTGCACAGAGATATCAAGCCTGAGAATATTCTGCTTACTGCTTCGGGGGAAATAAAGCTTGCTGATTTTGGCCTGGCCATGAGAATTTCTAAGGGTAATATGTTAAACCTGTTTGGATGATCTTCTTTTTTTGTTATCCTATGGTATATATATGTGCTAACTTCTATGAATAGAATCCTTACACAACCTTCCTTGTGTAAAATTCCATCCTAGTCATTCTGTTAATAAAAAATGTCTAGGCAAGTTTGAAGAAGATCATCATGATGAGCTTTCAACTGAATTGTACTTTACTAATGTTACCCTGTACATAGGAGTAAAAATTGGAGAGTTCAAATGGTCATCTCCCTTAAGTTTACTATGTTCAGTATTCAATTAAATTTGCTAGCGGTCTAAGAATAAGAGGTCCTAGAGAAAATGCTTATAATAGTTTGAAGCTAACCATTCATACTCTAAGGTCACTTTGTTTAATTTTTAAGCATTTAAAAATATCAGTAATTCAATTGACATATATATAAATACACACACATAAGTAAAAGATACATACATGCATACATGAGTAATTTATGCATAGCCTCATTGTCTAGAAATTTGCATTGCAAGTCAGAACTTGACGGGTTTGGCTGGGAGCCCTGCATATGTTGCACCAGAAGTGTTGTTGGGTAGATACTCAGAAAAGGCGGATATATGGAGTGCTGGAGTGCTCCTGCATGCTCTGTTGGTTGGTGTTCTTCCATTTAAAGGGGATTCACAAGAAGCAGTTTTTGAGGCTATTAAGAATTCCAAGCTAGAGTTCCAAACCGGGATGTGGGAATCAATATCTAAACCTGCACGAGATCTTGTTGGGAGAATGCTGACAAGGGATATTTCAGCAAGGATAACAGCTGATGAAGTACTTAGTAAGTTTATGGTAGATTATTAATGTTTTGTAGCGTGCTTTATCTCTCTTCCTTCAATGATGAATACACCAAAGACTAGTTGTATTTGGTCTGATTTTTTGTTTTTTAATCTTGAAATAATTAAAATTAGAAATTTCCAAGTTTTGTTGAAAAGTATCTTTGCCTTTCACATGAATTCTTAATAATTAGAAGGATTGCCTTGTTTTGGTTGGGATAACAGTGGTGGGAATCTGTTAATTCTCACATACTTTTGTTAGTTTTTATTATGTGTTCTTCTATGTGGTTGAGGCTCTCTTTTTCTCCCTAATGTTTTTAAACAGGAAATAAAATGACAGTACTTTTAAGTTTTAAGAACTGTTCGATTGTTTGCATGTTAAATTAATATTATGTGGTTCAATTTCAGGACATCCATGGATATCTTTCTACACAGAACGTACATTGAAGATCCTGCCCGTTGAATCAAAGTTGAAGCACCAAAATGGAGCTGCTTGCCACAACTTTGTTGCTGCACCTGAACCTAGGTTAGGAAGAAACAGGATGGATGATGGGTTCCTTAATGAGGTTTCAAGCCTTTCTTCATCATCTGAAAGTTGCAATTCAGAATATCATGATGTTTGTGTGTGGATTGATGCACTTGCCAATGCAATTTCACATGTAAGGATATCTGAACCAAAGAGGAGCAAGTTGTGGGCAGTTCCAATTCATCAGCAAGGTTTATATAACATGAGGGCTAACCTCTGTAAAGCATTTTGACCTACTGACAGGTTGACACCCCATAAACCACTATCTCTGCTGCTTTAGCTGGGGTTTTATAGTATACTTTGCCCAACACATTCTACAGTTGGCAAAAGTGGATTACATTTTTTTCCTCTAAATAATGATTACTGAGAAAACTCAGCTAGTTGTACAGAACCTGTGAATATGATATTAGTGTGTCACTGCATGTTTTTGCTCTTGCTGGAGCATGATAAATAGAATGCTATGATTTCACTTCAGTGAAAACTTGACCTAGTCATATGTTTTTTTGGAAGATTTTAATCCGAAACCATGAGTGCATAAGCGTATGTTATCCCTCCCATAACGCTGCATGTGTACTTATTTAGTGTTGGCAATTTGTATTTCAAGACATACTTTTTTGTACAGATGGTAGCGAGGAGTTTGACCTTGAGTCAATTATATATAGCAATGGCGTTTACTTTGAAAATGGAGTTGACAGCTGCTTGCTTATTTTCACTGAAAAAAAAGGAAAAAAAAGTACTTCTACTTGTGTTTAGAAGAGGCGAATCTTAACTACCAGGGGATAGATTTTGAAAGGCTATAAAATTTAGATTCTTTATCTGTTAAGGTGAGGTTAAGGGGTAATCGAGATAATAGGTAGGAACATATTTAGGAAGAGGGTATAGCTGAAAAAGGAAACATTAGATAATTCAATCCAAACCGAAAAAAATTGGATTGGATCGGATCGGATCGGATCGGATTTGAAAACAAATTAAAATCGAATGCATGATTATATGATTAAACCGAAGGGATTGGATCGGATGAATTTTGCTTCCAAAATCGATCCAATCCAGACCGCGAACACCCCTAGTGAATCATATGCTCGAAAAAAGAAAGAAAATGTGCATATGCTTTGGAATATTTTTTTAACGAAGGAGGTAATTTATTATTTAGATCTCTCATGAGTCATGATGATTAGGATTGGCTCATAAAATGCTAGATTGAAATTAATGTTAAACAAATTTGTTTATTATTAGTTAAAAGAATAGAAAAATATGTAATCATAATAAATTAATTCTAGATTGTAGTAAAAATCATCAAAACATAACCCATCACCAAACTGAATTAATAATTTTTATAAATATAATCAAAACAATTAGTAATTCATGAAAATTGTGAATTTAAAAAAGTTTAAACCCAAAGTTTCTGGTTAGCTCATTACAAGTTGAGAGAAAAGTAAATTAATATGGATTGAATTTTGGTAACTTAAACCAGATTAATTGATAAGTCATGACTCAATTTAACAACTCCGGTATCAATTTAACAACTCCGGTATCGAGGTATAAGTGTTTACCCTCCTTTCGCTTTGAGTCAACTATGTATTGTGGTAAAATAAGAATAAAAATTTCATGGATATATCTTAAACATAATTTACTAATAAAATTGATTCATGAATTTTTGCCCTCATTTTTACTCTCATGGCTCAAAGTATTCCGATCAAATCAGGAAAAAAGAGAGGGATTTAGTGTGTCCTTTTAAAGGACGTAAATATGTCCTTTTAGACATAAATAGTTTTGTCAATAAAGAGAGGACAAATGATATATTTTAATTAAAATACGAGATAATTCTCTTTTTGTTTTTATTAGAAGAATGGGATGATTCTCTATAATTTAACCTTATATTTGGATTGAGGGGAGACAAGGGAAGAAAGTTTTTAAAGTTTCAAATCTTTTATCAATTGACTGAAGAGAAAAAAAAATAAAGGAACTAAAATAATAGAAATAAAAAATTAAAAAAATTAGCGTCATCTTTTTTTTTTAATCTTTTCTCTCATTTTCTTCCATGTCATTAAAAAATTATTAGGGCCTCTTTAGATGGGTTTTTCTCTCTTCAAAAGTTGTTTTACTTCAGGAAAAAAAAAAGCATGTATGGGAGAAATATGTTTGGACGTCTACTTTTAAAAAGAGTAAAAGTCATAAAAAAAAGTTAAAAATCTTTTTTTTTTTAAATAAAAATTTTAGCTTCTAAAAATAACATAAGTTAAAACACAAATATTTTTTCAAAAACAAAATATTTTTTAAAAATCTAAATAACATTAACTTTTATAAAAAGTACTTCTAAAATAAATAAAATATAACAAACAATCACTTATTCTGGGGGATGAGACTGTTTACAGGGAGGTGGAGATAATGCAGCACTTGTCTGGGCATCCTGGGGTTGTGACTCTGCTGGCAGTGTATGAGGAAGCTGATTGCTCTCATCTGGTGATGGAATTGTGCTCTGGGGGAAAACTTGTCGACCAGATGTTTAGGGAGGGCACTTGTTCTGAACAGCGGGCTGCTAATATACTTAAGGAAGTGATGTTGGTCATCAAGTATTGTCATGATATGGGAGTTGTGCACAGAGATATCAAGCCTGAGAATATTCTGCTTACTGCTTCGGGGGAAATAAAGCTTGCTGATTTTGGCCTGGCCATGAGAATTTCTAAGGGTAATATGTTAAACCTGTTTGGATGATCTTCTTTTTTTGTTATCCTATGGTATATATATGTGCTAACTTCTATGAATAGAATCCTTACACAACCTGCCTTGTGTAAAATTCCATCCTAGTCATTCTGTTAATAAAAAATGTCTAGGCAAGTTTGAAGAAGTTCATCATGATGAGCTTTCAATTGAATTGTACTTCACAAATGTTACCCTGTACATAGAAGTAAAAATTGGATAGTTCAGATGGTCATCTCCCTTAAGTTTACTATGTTCAGTATTCAATTAAATTTGCTAGCGGTCTAAGAATAAGAGGTCCTAGAGAAAATGCTTATAATAGTTTGAAGCTAACCATTCATACTCTAAGGTCACTTTGTTTAATTTTTAAGCATTTAAAAATATCAGTAATTCAATTGACATATATATAAATACACACACATAAGTAAAAGATACATACATGCATACATGAGTAATTTATGCATAGCCTCATTGTCTAGAAATTTGCATTGCAGGTCAGAACTTGACGGGTTTGGTTGGGAGCCCTGCATATGTTGCACCAGAAGTGTTGTTGGGTAGATACTCAGAAAAGGCGGATATATGGAGTGCTGGAGTGCTCCTGCATGCTCTGTTGATTGGTTTTCTTCCATTTAAAGGGGATTCACAAGAAGCAGTTTTTGAGGCTATTAAGAATTCCAAGCTAGAGTTCCAAACCGGGATGTGGGAATCAATATCTAAACCTGCACGAGATCTTGTTGGGAGAATGCTGACAAGGGATATTTCAGCAAGGATAACAGCTGATGAAGTACTTAGTAAGTTTATGGTAGATTATTAATGTTTTGTAGCGTGCTTTATCTCTCTTCCTCAATGATGAATACACCAAAGACTAGTTGTATTTGGTCTGATTTTTTGTTTTTTAATCTTGAAATAATTAAAATTAGAAATTTCCAAGTTTTGTTGAAAAGTATCTTTGCCTTTCACATGAATTCTTAATAATTAGAAGGATTGCCTTGTTTTGGTTGGGATAACAGTGGTGGGAATCTGTTAATTCTCACATACTTTTGTTAGTTTTTATTATGTGTTCTTCTATGTAGTTAAGGCTCTCTTTTTCTCCCTAATGTTTTTAAACAGGAAATAAAATGACAGTACTTTTAAGTTTTAAGAACTGTTCGATTGTTTGCATGTTAAATTAATATTATGTGGTTCAATTTCAGGACATCCATGGATATCTTTCTACACAGAACGTACATTGAAGATCCTTCCCGTTGAATCAAAGTTGAAGCACCAAAATGGAGCTGCTTGCCACAACTTTGTTGCTGCACCTGAACCTAGGTTAGGAAGAAACAGGATGGATGATGGGTTCCTTAATGAGGTTTCAAGCCTTTCTTCATCATCTGAAAGTTGTAATTCAGAATATCATAATGTTTGTGTGTGGATTGATGCACTTGCCAATGCAATTTCACATGTAAGGATATCTGAACCAAAGAGGAGCAAGTTGTGGGCAGTTCCAATTCATCAGCAAGGTTTATCTAACATGAGGGCTAACCTCTGTAAAGCATTTTGACCTACTGACAGGTTGACACCCCATAACCAACTATCTCTGCTGCTTTAGCTGGGGTTTTATAGTATACTTTGCCCAACACATTCTACAGTTGGCAAAAGTGGATTACATTTTTTTCCTCTAAATAATGATTACTGAGAAAACTCAGCTAGTTGTACAGAACCTGTGAATATGATATTAGTGTGTCACTGCATGTTTTTGCTCTTGCTGGAGCATGATAAATAGAATGCTATGATTTCACTTCCGTGAAAACTTGACCCTACTCATATGTTTTTTTGGAAGATTTTAATCTGAAACCATGAGTGCATAAGCGTATGTTATCCCTCCCATAACGCGCTGCATGTGTACTTATTTAGTGTTGGCAATTTGTATTTCAAGACATACTTTTTTGTACAGATGGTAGCGAGGAGTTTGACCTTGAGTCAATTATATATAGCAATGGCGTTTACTTTGAAAATGGAGTTGACAGCTGCTTGCTTATTTTCACTGAAAAAAAAAGGAAAAAAAAGTACAGCTACTTGTGTTTAGAAGAGGCGAATCTTAACTACCGGGGGATAGATTTTGAAAGGCTATAAAAGTTGAGATTCTTTATCTGTTAAGGTGAGTTTAAGGGGTAATCTAGATAATAGGTAGGAACATATTTAGGAAGAGGGTATAGTTGAAAAAGGAAACATTAGATAATTCAATCCAAACCGAAAAAAATTGGATTGGATCGGATCGGATCGGATTTGAAAACAAATCAAAACCGAAGGGATGATTATATGATCAAAACGAAGGGATTGGATCGGATGAATTTTGCTTCCAAAATCGATCCAATCCAGACCGCGAACAACCCTAGTGAATCATATGCTCGGAAAAAGAAAGAAAAGGTGCATATGCTTTGGAATATTTTTTTAACGAAGAGGGTAATTTATTATTTAGATCTCTCATGAGTCATGATGATTAGGATTGGCTCATAAAATGCTAGATTGAAATTAATGTTAAACAAATTTGTTTATTATTAGTTAAAAGAATAGAAAAATATGTAATCATAATAAATTACTTCTAGATTGTAGTAAAAATCATCAAAACATAACCAATCACCAAACTGAATTCATAATTTTTATAAATATAATCAAAACAATTAGTAATTCATGAAAATTGTGAATTTAAAAATGTTTAAACCCAAAGTTTCTGGTTAGCTCATTACAAGTTGAGAGAAAAGTAAATTAATATGGATTGAATTTTGGTAACTTAAACCAGATTAATTGATAAGTCATGACTCAATTTAACAACTCCGGTATCGAGGTATAAGTGTTTACTCTACTTTTGCTTTGAGTCAACTATGTATTATGGTAAAATAAGAATAAAAATTTCATGGATATATCTTAAACATAATTTACTAATAAAATTGATTCATGAACTTTTGCCCTCATTTTTACTCTCATGGCTCAAAGTATTCCGATCAAATCAGGAAAAAAGAGAGGGATTTAGTGTGTCCTTTTAAAGGACGTAAATTATGTCCTTTTAGACATAAATAGTTTTGTCAATAAAGAGAGGACAAATGATATATTTTAATTAAATTCTCTATAATTTAACCTTATCTTTGGATTGAGGGGAGAAAAGGGAAGAAAGTTTTTAAAGTTTCAAATCTTTTATCAATTGACTGAAGAGAAAAAAAAATAAAGGAACTAAAATAATAGAAATAAAAAATTAAAAAAATTAGCATCATCTTTTTTTTAATCTTTTTTTTCTCATTTTCTTCCATGTCATTAAAAAATTATTAGGGCCTCTTTGGATGGGTTTTTCTCTCTTCA